TCAGGATGCGCGCCACTGGAACGTTCGAGTTCCGCGGGTGACGTCAGACGCGGCACCAACAAGTCAGATGACGAGCCATCACTATGATCATGCACGATGACGTTGCCAAGGCAAGAGAACGCGACGGCGAGCTCAAGAAGAGGAAGGAATAACAGGAACTCGTTTCGTTCCGTTCCGTTCCGTTCCTCTCCTCATCGGCCAGTTCTTTCCAGCGCCTCGCAACGTCGACTTCGCGGCCGTTCAATCGTGGTGCCGAACCGCGCTGGGAAACGAGTTGCTCCATCCGCTCGGCGACTTCCTTCTTACAAATTACCACTGTACAACACGATATCGTTTCGAATGACAGCGACCCGGTTAACCGAGCGCGCCGTTTCTACGCTGTCACTACCGAAAATTGCTTCGACACTTGGACTACCGTGTCATTCGGACTCGAGTGACATAACCTGTATCGAAAATTCATTTTCTCTGCGATGCGTCGGTTAAACTGAATTTTCTTGGGTCGACAAGTCGTGAGAATATCGAGGGATCGACTGATATTAGAATCTCGATTTTTCTGTTCTTCTTTCGTTCAGGAACATAAGTTTCATTGTACCAGTAATTCAATGACCGATTCAGCGGTCAACGTATTGAATCTGTGTCGCGGATCGGCAAGGTCGATGGCAATGAAGGATCGAATTGTTGTCGATCTCCGTGATCGATTGGCTTAGTTCAGTTTTTACTCGGAATTTTGTTTCTTCGCAGTTGCGTGTGTCGTTTGCGGAGCTCTGTGGAACTTTCTTTGAAATTTTCTTTAGAATTTTCTGTGGAATTTTCTTTGGACTTTTCTTTGGAATTGCTCGTTACTGGTTGAATGGATGGGAATTTAGTTTTTGAGTAAATGAATAGAATAGTGTGAGGAACGGTTATTACTCGGAGATGTTTGAACAGCGAGATGTTGAATATTCGATCGACGAATGTTTAAATTTATTTCGAACGTCACTTGAGTTTCCTTTCGTGGTCCGATTGATAATAGGAGTTGCTGTGCGATTGTTGGTTGGGAAGCTAGCATATTGGGAGCCGTGATTTTGAAATTCCCATCCACCATAGGACGTCGGGCATCCACGTGGATAAATCGTCTACGTCATCGTGCGAGCAAGTTAAGTATCTTATTGACGATTCTCCTCTCGCGAAATTATGCACCGTGCGTTACACAACTAAAATGTTTCTTGTCTGGGTAATACCGTGGAATATTCAGTATTTATACTGTCCGCTGGGAAACGGAACTTTTCTGTGTATTAATATTAACCCTTTGCGGAATGTCGACATTTCGAGATGAAAGTTTCGTATTTGGAAGACTAAGTCGCTGACGAATCATTTGATTACTCGAACAGCAAGAGATCAGTACGTAGTTTCACTTTTTTTAATATTAATTATAATTATGATTTACATTTGAATTACTATAATTCACTCAATTAACCCTTTCGGCAGTTTTTCACTAGAAATATTTTAACATTTGACGATGGTATAAAAACGATATTTTGTGGAATTAATTCGAAGAAAAATCATACGTTTAAGGAACAAATCTATTTTATTTCAATATTTCTCAAATTGATGCGTTATACTGAGTATAATATTAAATATCGAATTTTATAGTTTACTGTGTGAAATCAAATGGTGAGTGAGAGTCACCTCTCGAGTGTAAAGAGTTAAACGATGATTATTTAAAAACTTATTAGAAAACTTGTTATTATCCATATTA